GACTGTTGTTTTGCCTGTAGCTGGTGTAAAAAGTGTAGAAGTATAAAAGTTACCCCATCCTAATTAAAAAGGGAAAACCTCTTAGATTTATCTCTATGGATTTTTAACATTGATCTTTTTGTTGTTATTCTTCTTAGTGGCGGGAAGAAGTGGATAATAGATGTACAGGTATTTTTGAAAACTATTGAAAGGAGCAATTAATTAAAGGTACTAAAGATAAGAGTTTTGGGTAGGTAAATTACTAGGGTCAAAAGTCAATAGTTTATCTTCTTGTATCACAAAAACAAGAGAAAATGAGAGGGCAAAATCAGGTTCGGAAGGACATGCATGATTATTATGAGATTACCGAGACAGAAAGAGATCATGTAGTAATTTATTTATTTATTTTTAACAGTGCGGAGGCACTAGGCAGTCTTTCATTAATATAGATAATGATTATTTTTACCGTCTTTTGATTCCTTTCTTGACGGTCAAAGTTAGCAATGCAACCTTCAAGATGATATTTTTACGTATTAAAACTTTTAAACCAACAATTCTCCGTAAACTATTCACACTTGCCACCACTCATGTTTATTTCACCTTCAGCCTAGCTAGCTAGCCCGTATAAAAATGTAGTACTGCTATAGGCTACAATTGGCTTTTTCATCATGATCATGCTTCATTTACTACTAAACGTCTTAAGCATTCCTTTAATCTGTTTGTTTTTAGTTATAGCTTTAAATTTGGAGTTCTATTGATCCTCCATTTTGAAGATGATTTATGATAGAGAGATTGGCTTGTTTAAAGACAAATAGGATCATGTTAATTTTGTAGAATTTTGATAGACTTATTGTGATCAAACTAAGGGGAAAAAAAAGGAAAAAGGAAAAAGAAAACGTAATGATAAAACATACTCCCTCCGTTTTATGATTATTGTCCAGTTTGAGTTTTCATAATTGTACTAAAAGTGAAATATCAAACTGGATAATAATTTTGGGATAGAGGAAATATATAAACACCAATAGATCGATGATTCAGATTTCATAAGGTGGTTTTCCAAGTGAAGCAATTAGCAACATAATCACATTAACAAGATCCTTTTAAGACTTTGATGATACAAGGCTTGGTAGCTAGATAACTTGCATGATTGATCATTTGATCCCAAATTCTTCTATGACATTTTTACCTACTGCTTCATCCATTTCAAAATATAAATCATTTTATACTTTGTACGTAAACTAAGAAGATAATCATCCAACAATTAATTTGTGTATTAAAGATCTGTTTTATCCCTCATTAATTGCATTCAAACTATAAACAAGACTAAATGAAAATATATTGGTATAATTTATTGAGGATAAAAGTGAAAAAATAGTCATTAATTTGCCTAGAATTTGTAAAACGATTTACATTTTAAAAAATCTCTTCAAATCTAAAACGAGCTACAAATTGAAAATAATTAGCATACACTACATATTATGTAGATAACGAAATTAATTGCTGTTCGAATGCACGCCAACAAAATACAAATCATCCCCAACGTATACTTTTTGTTGTGGATCGTATTAAGATATTTTGATCAGCATTGACCTTGACCAGCTCTTGGAGATGCTTTCCGGCCGGAAGGAAACAGATTCAGTATAGCTTCGAAAGTAGTACTCGTACTAGTATTACTTGGTTTCATTTATAATAGTAACTTCAAAATTAGCCAAATTTCATTGAGAAAGAGAGAGATAATGAAGCGCCTCCAAGTTAATGGCCCGGAAGACAAGGGTTGGTGTCCTCGTACAGGGGCACATCCAGCCAAACCCCCCAATTTATCGATCTCCACAAATCTAACGTTGATGAAATTAGTGAATTGTTTTCATTGAAGTTACTTTCTCTTTGGTGGTTTTTGTTCTTCTTCTTAAACATTAATCCCATCAACAACCCAACTTTCGATGTGTGTATATATACACTACACACACACACACTCACACTATATATATATATATATATATATATATATATATATCAATTTGAAATAGACTTGACTCTTTTTTACAATTGGCTACTGAAAATTTATCAGCCGAACAAAATATATAACAAATCTTCTATCTCAAATTCTTTTTCCAGTTCATCTTGTACTTTTAGATTGTAAAATATCTTTCCATTTAATTGATGAATTAGTTAGATCTAGAACCGTTCATGGAATAGAGTTTTTGGTCTCTCATGGTTAGATTTAGCTGATCTTTATACAACTCATATACAATTTTGTATATTTTAATATGTTTTTTTAATAAAATATGATTATTGTTTGGACAAAAAAAGTTACTTTTCCAAATCAAATTTTATTCTTGAATTCAAATTTTTAGTATAATTTATAATAAAAATTAAAACTAAATTGAATAATTATTTTGGGATAGTCAGTACTAAAAAGATGGGGGAAAAGGCTGCTGTATTGCATGCATTCAAATTGAGAGATAAAAAAGAAGAAAGAAAAGGGGAAAGAACTCAAGATTTCAGAAGAATAAGTCGTCTCCCATGGCCCCTCCTTTCCCCTCGCTGGTAGGGAGGGAGCAGTTTAATGATATGAGTTAGAAAAGATATAGTAAAAAAATGCTACAAAATTGATGGATGGAATGTGAAGAAGTTATGGGTTTTTGAAGGCCGCCTGAATATGATACCAAAGTGTAAAAAAAGGGAAACATTCATTCATTCATTTATGCATGAAAAATATTGGTAACTAAATAAAAAGAGAAGAGTTTGGTTGGTTAGGGTTGTGGTGGTGGCTGCCAGTTGCAGGAATACTACCAGATAGAGAGATAGATATCTCTGACAGCTTTGATATGACATTTTTCCTACTGGACATGGCATCATGTACATGAATAATGGACTTTGTAACTTCTCAGTTGCTACATGAACATGAGTCATGGACTAGGTGTTTTTCTCTCTTCATGTACGTAATACTTTTTTTTTGTCAGAATATCTCAGATTTTATCCATACCCTTTTCTTTTTGTGCTATTAATTTAATCTCAGGTGTTTATGTAGTAGATATACATGGATCTCTACAATATTCCCTCAGATATTCCATGCATCGATCCATCAATGAAATCGAGCTAGAATGCTACAAGTTCAATCGTGGAAGGGATTTCGATAATTTCTGAAACAACCAAAATTTCGGGAAATCAGCATGTAAACTGCGTATCGTGCATAAACAATGTTAAGGAGGTCTTTTCTCTCAACAATAACCCGGCTACACTTGGTGAGAAAGTAATTAATACATACTCCTTCCTCTCGAAATTACTGTATATTTTAGATTTTCATTCTTAGTTTAAGTTATACTAAAGTTGAAAATACAAATTGAACAATAATTTTGAGACAGAGAGAGTATTTTATATAATTTTATTCTGCCTTCTTTTATTTTTTCTGTATTTTACGAGTGTAATGTGACACCCAACGTGAGTTGCGTCCAAGTGTATTTTTTTCGCTATATATATTTTATGTAATTAATCTGACACTGAAATTGCAAATCAATAACTTCAAAAAGTTAAAAAGAAAAATGAAATGAAATTATTATTGGAGATGAGAGAATTCTAACCTAAAACCTCTCACCCTCAATGACCATTGATATGATGTGGTAATTAGTCTTCTTGTTCTCACTCGTGCTTATAAGTTTAAGACTACTTTTCTTTTCTTTTTCTTTTTTTTCCCTTTTCATTTTTCCCTGTATGGAATCACACTTTGTTGAATTAACAGTTTCACTTGGTAAAACGTTAACATGAAAGAAAGTATGATGTTTGAACGTGGATTTAATGCGCAATCCACAATTATACTGTAAAGAAAAAAAAAAAAACTATTCGCGTCGATCGAGATGATGAATTAAAAATATAGCTTTCATAACAATTAACTCATTGATCATACAGATAATATAAGAGTGCTGTAAGTTTAATTATTAAGTATGATTTTTAAGGAAGGAACTTTAGAAAATGATAAATATAAAATCTTCAATGTTAGTATAATTTGTATTAAATATAAAATTTAAAATTCGATAATTATTTTAAGAAGGTGTACCTTTTTCATAGATCAATGGTTAACAGAGAAATGCAGAAATAAAATTTGGGTTTTAAGAACAGGGTAGGCCAATAACCCAGCTCTTACAGGTAAAAATACTTCTACAACATACTTATGTGCCAACAAGTTATATTACCTCCATAATTTTTTTATCCATCCATTAGGGTGAACTCAAACTTTTTTTTTAATCTGTAGTACTTCATTTCCAAAAGAGTATTAAATATAATTTTTTTTTTCAATTTTATACTTATTTTCCTATGCTTTTTTTTATATGTCGCACTCCCTAATATTTTTATATAAATTTCAATTTTTTTGTAAAATTTCAATAACTTTAAATAGACGTAACGAAAATTTACACTTAAAAATTAAACTCTCAATCATTATTTCCTTAACACATGTGTATATCGTAATGTGATAATTAATAAAATGGAGACAGTAAGAAGTAAGAAGAAGATAAAGTTCAAATTCAACACAACTGTCGTCCCTTCTTATAATGTATATAATTAGCCCTACAAATCAGAATTGAAGTAGCTCTTGGCTTAGTACAGCAGGGATACAGTGGCTTAAGTTTTTTTAATAATGATTTACCAGTCCTCGTGTACCTTTTTTGTTTCTATCAAAACTGAAGTCCTAATTTCCTCAAGTACTATTAAGATAATCGGTACTACTGCTAGTAGGTCTAAAGAAGTCAGGAAGTGGGGGGGATATACTTCGACAATGATAATCATTTCAAAAATCTTTACAAAAATCATAGTAGTAATATATTCATGAAATTGACAGTAATATCCCTGAGCTCCTATTCTCAAGTCATGGATTTGTTTTGGTTGGGATTAGTGTCAAAGACTGTCCCTTTGGAGAAGCTGAGACTGAGAGGGCACCGCATTTAATGACCAAACAGACAACTCAGAAGTATTACTACTACAAACTCTGTGTGTGTGTGTGTTTCCATATATAAAACCTCTCTTCATTCACTTTAGCCTCTGAAAACACAACTGGTTTCCCTTCCCCTCTTTTTAAGGTTCGCAACTTAATGTTTTTAGACCTTTCCTCTTCTTCTTCTTCTTCTTTCTGGTTCATTAGGTCTCATACCTCCATATGTTCATCACTTATGGTTCAATTTTCAAAGAGTATCTCATGCATGCACTTTCAGTAGTCTAATAAATTTCTCCGACCAAAACAGAAGATTTTTTTTTTTTTTTTTTATCATTTCACTAATAGTAGAACAATATATATATTACTTCTAGATATATAAATATCATGACATCAAACTGGCTGGGTTTCTCTTTATCTCCCCAAGAAATCAATTCTCATCAACAAACACAAGGAGAATGCTTTGATCTTGCTTCTGCTGACTCAACCATCTTACCTTCTCTTAATCTTCCTGCTGGCCCTTTTGGCTTACTATCCTCTCAAGGTACCTTCTTATTTTATTTATTTATTTTTTTTGCTCTCTATAAATTACAGTGATTTTTGAAACTTTTTTTTTTCTTCTGGACATACCTCAACTTTTCCTATTGCAATAAAATGAAAACCCTTTTTTTTTGTTTTTATTTATATATTTGTTTATTTTTTTTTGTGGGCAGATTGGAATTTGAGGAATGTAAACACTACCTACAAGAACAATATGATGTTAATGGAAGAAAGGTCATCATCATGCAACAATAATAATATTAACCCAAGCCTCGAGAATCAAGAAACCCCAAAGCTAGAAAACTTCCTCGGTGGCCACTCATTTACCACTTCCGATCATCATCAAAACGGTACTAATAATACTGGCGGCGGCAGTGGTGGCGGCGGCGGTGGTGCTTTCGGTCTTTCCATGATCAAGAGTTGGTTGAGGAATAATCCCACTTCACAATCTGCCTCATCTCAACTTGAAGAGACTAACATAAGTGATCACAATCAGTATTTCAATGCTACTACGGAAGCAATGAGTTTTCCCGGCGGTGCTACAGCGGCGGCGGCCGTGGCTGCGAGTCATCAGAACTTGTCACTTTCGATGAGTACTGGCTCGCAGCCAACTTCTGCCTTGCCCCTCTTGACCGGAGGAGAAAACTCCAATTTGGATGACGGTGGAGAGATGAGTTCGAGCTCGGAGAATAAACTGGGCGTTGCCGGTGGGACGGTGGCCATGGCGGCGGTTGCGGCCGGCAGCCTTGATGCCCAAACCGGTGCTATTGAAACGGTGCCTCCTCGAAAGTCTATTGACACGTTTGGCCAAAGGACTTCTATATACCGTGGTGTAACAAGGTGTTGTTTCATTTCATTTTTTTTTTATTTTATTGAAAAAACACACATACAATTCCATCTCTGTAACAAAAAAAAAAAAAGAAAAAAAAAAGAGAAAAAATACATACAATTTTTCCACTTCAAATTTTGTTGAAAAGAGGTGTCACCTTTCAATAACTAATTAATAGGAGTATTTTTTGGACCAAAAAATTTTGGGATGCAAATTAAATAATATTATCATATATGGTTCTTTGCAGACATAGGTGGACGGGAAGATATGAGGCACATCTTTGGGACAATAGTTGTAGAAGAGAGGGACAAACTCGGAAAGGAAGGCAAGGTATGATTTATTTATTTGATCTATATTTTCTTGGTCTGCCATTTTATTTGTTTCATGTATTTATTTGTTGGAGGAAACAAGTCATACTTAATTCTAACTTGTTGTAACTCTTTGTCCCCCATTCTGTAAAATGTTTTGATTTTTGATGCGGGATGATACGAATTTTGCGGCAGTTTATTTGGGTAAGTGTAAGAGAATTCTTTCTTCTTTCTTTATTAGCATTTCACCTGCGATAGAAGTTAATCCTTGATTTACCGTTTTATAAGGATTATTCTTTTGAAGTTTGTTTTTGAGCTAAGACTAAGATCTTTTTCCTTTTTCTTTTTACTTTTGTGTTTTTTGTTGCTGAATTAAAAAGGTGGATATGACAAGGAAGAAAAGGCTGCTCGAGCTTATGATTTGGCCGCTCTTAAATATTGGGGTACTACTACCACTACTAATTTTCCGGTGAGTGTCTCTATTGTGGTAGTTCAGTTTACTTTCTTATTTTACTATTTTGAAGGGAGAATACCAAATTTGCAAATATTTGAGGGATGATTGATGATTCAGTATTTCATCCTAACATTTCTGGGAAAATATTGCCCTAAAGGTATCGGCGGAAGGGTCAGTGATAGTGTTTCACAAACCCATACCCTTGAGTGGTGGGAAATCGTTTGGCAGAGGTGATTGATTATGATTATGGATTTTTGGTTTTAGATAAGCAACTATGAAAAAGAGATTGAAGAAATGAAGCACATGACAAGGCAGGAATACGTAGCATCTTTGAGAAGGTAAATATTCTTTGACAATATATTGTGTGTATGGCTTCTATGTATAAATTTATTTATTTTCTTAATTTCCAAGGAATAGTCAAATCCATGCAATTGTGAAGTGTTTGTGGCGTTAGTAAATCTCAGTTTTTAATTATTATTCTTTTTTTTTTTCAAACTGGACACAGGAAGAGTAGTGGGTTTTCTCGTGGTGCTTCCATTTATCGAGGTGTAACAAGGTACTACTCATTTTCCATGTTTTATGCATTGATAAACTGGTGAAGGTGACCATCTATCAGATTCTTTAGTAGCGAGTGAGGATGTTTTCAGCTTGATATCAAAATCAACAACTGTCTCGGGTTATTAAGAAAATCAACCATGCATGTTACTTTTAATTCTGACTTCTCCTCTTAATTATTCTATCTGTCCCAAAATTATTGTCCTGTTTGAGATTTCACTTTTAGTACAATTTGAACTAAAAATGAAATCCCAAACTGGACAATAATTATGAGACAAAGGGACAATAATTATGAGACAAAGGGAGTATGACTTTTCATTGACTCATTGTGCGAATTAGTACTTGTACGACAGTGTTTGGCTTTTGAATTCTATTATGTTAGGATTAGAACGATAATTGCATGTCAGTAAATGATCGATGCTTGCATGTATGCATAGTTTCTTTTTACACATTTTTTAATTAATTGGTGAGGTTGTCCGGTTAAATGCAGACACCATCAGCATGGAAGATGGCAAGCAAGGATTGGGAGAGTTGCTGGGAACAAGGACCTTTATCTGGGAACATTCAGTAAGCATCAGTTTATAATATTAGTCTTCATTTCCAAACTCGTTAATTTGTTCTTGATGAGAATATGTTGGAAACTGAAATGTTACTAAAATTTTTAATATTTTCAGGCACCCAAGAAGAAGCTGCGGAGGCCTACGACATTGCGGCCATCAAATTTCGCGGACTGAATGCGGTAACCAACTTCGAAGTGAGCCGATACGACGTGAAAAGCATACTAGAGAGCAGCACGCTGCCCATTGGATCTGCCAAGCGCTTGAAGGATGTAGAACAGGCTGAAATGGCTTTAGATATTGCTCATAGGGCTGCTGCCGCAGATCATCAACATCTAAGCTCGCATCTTGTAGCCGATGGAATTCATAGCTACGGCGCACACTCCGCAGGCTGGCCTACAATTGCATTCCAGCAACAAACTCAGCCATTGTCAGCCATTCACTATCCGTCCTATGGTCAGCAGCAACAGCAGCAGCAGCAGAGGTTATGGTGCAAGCAAGAAACCGGTTCTGATGTGACGGCCAGTAGTTATCAGGATTTCCACCAGCTTCAGCTGGGAAACACGCAGAATTTCTTACAGACAACTGTTCTGCATAACCTCATGAGCTTGGATTCGTCATCCATGGAGCATAGCTCAGGGGCTAGTTCTGTGATATACAGCAATGGAGGACAATCGGCTGGAGCAAATGGTTCATATCCAGGCATCAACGGATATGGAAACAACAACAGCAGCAGTTATCTTCTGCCAATGAGTACAGTTATAGCTGATCAGGAAGGGAATCACAGTACTAATGGTTTAGGAGAAAATGGGGTGAAAGCTATTGGGTATGAGAATATGTATGCAAATTCAAGTGATCCGTATCAAACCCGCAATTTCTACTATCATCATCATCCTCAACAAACTACACCATCATGCAATACTTGGGTGCCTACTGCAGTCTCGCCACTAGGAACAAGGAGTAATATGGCTGCCGTTTGTCACGGATCTTCAACTTTTACGGTATGGAACGACACCTAGCTAGCTATACTACACACCCCAGCTGGGATGGTAATGGGCTTAACAATGGATGTACACAGATGACTAATTCTTTTCTTTGCTTCTGGCCTTGGTGACTAAGATATTAGGCTAGGCTTTTGGTTTTGGTTATTCATTTAAAAATGTGTTTTTGGAAGGCTAATTAGAAGACAGAGGTTAGGGATATGGCTGAAGTTCGTGAATAGCAGGTGAAGAGTAGCGTGTGTTAATCGCTGCCTGCTATGATTTTGGAAATTTGGTTGCGAATACATTCTCGGAAATTAGATAATTATAGTAGGGATACCAGGCTTTGTAATTTTGGAATAATTATATCTAATACAAAGAATGGGTTTTTTTTCCATTAAGCTCCTATGTTTGTGCGTGTGTTTGGTGCATCATTCGGGGAACGTTCTTCTTTAATCAGGCTTCAATGAAAAGTATCATAATCATGGCAAAGAAGAAATATAGTTATACTAGTATAAATTCTTGTTCAACTAATAATATACGCTGAAGAAAAATATCTGTTTATCATGAGAACAGTTTTTATTTTTTCTTTAAGGCTCTGCTCGATCGCAATGAATTGGATCATAGAATTAGAATTGGAAGGTTCAAACAACAGTTTTTTGTTGTTAGAAAATGAAGTTGTTATTAGAAAATGAAAAGATACAACCAAATGAGAAAACAAATAGTATTGATGTGTACAGTGTACACAGAGTCTGTCACAAACAACCCTTTTCATTTTCTTTTTGTCCAGTTATAAGTTTATATTCTGTGACTCAGTGGACTCAAATATAAGAGTATCGATCAATTTGTGTTCTTGCATCTACAAAATATCTGGTTTCATCTTCCTTAACGATTTGCTAAACATGGTGGCTTCCGTTTACGAACTTTTTTGTTTAACTAATAAACTATCATCGAAGGACCAGGAACTTCATCCTTATGAGGAAGTCCGAATCATCAAGCTGTTCAGAAGCTGTTCAGAAGGTTGCCAATTGAAAAGTGGAAAAAGCTACTAGTTTTTGTTTGAAGTGTCAGCTTCTCAGAGTGGTTCCTGTTCTACAAGCGGCCAACTACTTTTCAGTCCGGGATTAAGGGCTCGCGCAAATTATATGGCGGTGCGCTCTAGTTTGGAGCGCACCGGGCTGGGCAGGCGTGCGTGCCGCTCGCTGCTCGCTGCTCACTGCTTTCTTTTCTTTTTTTTTCTTTTTTTTTTTCTCTTTTCTTTTTGATTTTAATTTTGTATTTAGTTTTTTTAACCTTAAAAATATTGTTTTAGTAAAATTTTAGCCACTCCTTACACACACAATTAATAGATTAGGGTCTAGTGTGTAACATAACATGGATAACTAATAAATTTTTTTTAATTCAATTTGGCTAGGGTCTGGTATTAATTGAATTAAAAAAAATTAAAACTGAATAAAAAGTTAGTTTGTTTAGTGTTTGGAGTTTAGGAGAGTTTAAGCATTTCTATTAAATTAGGACCTAGTGATTATTATTTAGAGTTTAGGAGGGTTTAATTATTTTAATTAAGTTAGGGTCTAGTGATTAATGTTTAAGGTTTAGGAGGGTTTAAACATTTCAATTATGTTATGATCTAGTGTGTGACGTAACATGATTAACTTATAATTTTTTTTTAATTTAATCAAACTAGGGACCCTAGTCTAATTAAATTAAAAACATTAAAATGAATAAAAAATATAGTATTTTTAATGTTTAGAATTTAAGAAAGTTTAATCATTTCAATTAAATTAGAGTCTAAAATTAAAAAAAATTATAAAGTTAAAAAAAATTTAAAAAATAAAAAAGGTGGTGAGCGCGCGCCCACTGCCCGGTGCTACCTAATAGCATGAATAGGTAGCACCGGGTACCTTGTAGAACAATTGGATTTGGTCGGTCATAAGACTCTGGAACATTATGAATTAGGCTTGTCTAATCTTTCGAAAATAAATAGTATTTGGAACATCGTTTGAATCAGAGAGCTGAGATTTGCAATGTTTTATGTTCTCTTAAAACGTCAATCTACATAATTCATCAAAACAACACAATGAATATACAAATTACATCATAAAATGACACAAATTATATCACTTTGGAATCCATTACATTTCCCCAATCTGCAAGATATTATTTAATAGAATTTTCATTTCATTTCAAATATAGTTCGTGTAATGCACGAGGTTAAAACTACTATGGGAGTAAAGGAAAATAATAGAAGGGGATGGGAGGAAATTGGGGAAAGAGAACTTAGCGACTGGTGGAAATTTGGGGAAATTGGGGGATGTAAAAATATAGGCAAAGGCCCCCTGACAGCTCACTATGTTGATGAGAAGGGAATAGTTAGAGCAAAACCTGTCTACTATGAATGGCGTCCAACCCTCTGTGGATGCTGTAACAATTACGGTCATGGGGAAGAGAATTACAGAAAGAAGAAGGCAGATCAAGTAGTTCTTGAGAAAACACAAGCCAAACAGAAAAGTGCTAGTACAGAATGGAGAATGGTGACTAAGAAAAAGGGGACTGAAGAGCATAATGCTACACAACCAGAACTACAACTTTAGAGTCAACCAAGGGAACAAGGACATGAAATGGTGAAGGGAACAACTAAAGTAAATGAACTGGCATCTAACAACTTTGAAATCCTCAGAAATGCAGAGACTGAAGCAATGGAGAAAGATGAGATGGGAAAAGGAGCTGAACAGAACCTAAGTAACAAAGGCTATGCTAGGGAAGAAATACCCCACAATCCTGGTGTATCATGTTAAGTCTCTTACATTGGAACATTAGGGGTATGAATAGTCCCATGAAGCTGAAGGAAATATGTAGAATAGCTTCTAAATATATAATCAATATATTGAGTATTGTAGAGACCAAATTACTAAGTAGTAAGATTGATGATATTGTGGGGAAATATTGGCCGGGATATAGATCTTAAACAGTGGTTGGGCAAAATGAACGTATTAGAATAAGTATCATATGGAACCCTTGCTTATATGCAGTTAATATGCTTCAGCAGAACACCCAATATGCTCGCTGTTGGGTTGAACCACTAAATGGATATAGAGGGTTCTATTTTACAGCTATTTATGGCTCTAACTTGAAAGAGGAAAGGGATCAATTGTGGAAAGAACTTATTAGCATAGCCCCAATTATGAATGAGGCCTGGATGGCAATAGGGGATTATAACAATGGGCTTTTGAAAGAGTAAGAGGTTGTAAAGTTACATGTGCAAAAACTCAAGGATTTCAAAGATGTTTAGATGAATGTGAGCTGGTTGATTTGAAACAGCAAGGAAGAATATACACATGGTCAAATAGGCAAGAAGGAGGGCACAAAATATACTCTAGATTGTCAGGGCATTAGTTAACGCTTAATGGCAAATGCAATTTCCAGATTCTAGTGTCACTATTCTACGAGAGGGTCTCTCAGATCATACCCCAATGGTGGTTCAACTAGAGGATGGTCAAGTGCAAAGGTCTAAATCATTCAAGTTCTTCAATATGTGGTGCTAGGCTGATAACTTCATGGAGGTGGTAAAGAAATGTTGGGAAGAAAATGTAAAAGGAACCAGATAATACCAATTAGTAGTAAAGTTAAAAAGACTAAAGCCAGAACTGAAAAAGCTGAATAGAGGTGAATTTCACGAAATACAGTAGCAAGAACAGCATTTGCTGGAGCAACTAACAAGTGTGTAGGAAGAGTTACAAGGAAATCCTCTGGATGCAGAATTGCATAAAAAAGAGGAGCTGTACCAAAAGTATATCAAAACTAGCATCGCAGTGGAAAGCTTTATGCATCAAAAGGCGAAGGAGAGATGGGTTCAGCTGGGGGACTCCAATTATGCTTTCTTCCATGCAAGGATGAAAGCTAGAACAATCAAAAATAGAATATGCTCCATCACTGGAGAAGATGGCGAAGTAATCAGGGATAGGAAGATTGTCAGAGACCACTTCCTTGATTTCTTTCAAGCACAGTTAGGGTAGAGTAATGCAAGGATCAAGTCATGTGAATCAGCATACAAGAAAGGTCCAGTGTTGAGTTGGAAGTAGCAAATCAGCATCCAAAAAGCTGTGACACCACAAGAGATAAGAAAGGCAATATGGGAGATCTATGGTGGCAAAAGCCCAGGACCAGATGGCACGGCTCTTTGAGAAGGGACAAATGTTGAAGCAGCTGAATGCCACGACTCTTGCCCTAATTCCAAAACCGAAGTTCTGGCAAATGCCTCAGAATATAGGCCCATTGCATACTGCAATGTGACCTATAAATACCTTTCCAAGATCATCTGCACAAGGCTGAAAGTTGTTCTCCCCATTTTGGTTGATGAAAACCAAAGCGCGTTCGTAAGCAAAAGACTAATTCTACATAACGTGCTGTCAACTAAGGAGTAGATACACAAATACAGAAAGAGAAATATCGGTGGGAGATGGCTGCTAAAAATTGACATCAGAAAAGCATTTGACTCCATTGAATGGTCTTTTTTCCAGGAAATGTTAGAAGCCTACATATTCCCTGAGTCACTTTCCAGGCTGATAATGAAATACGTGACAAAAACTTCCTTCTCGGTGAACCTCAACGGGAAAGCTGAGGACATTTCAAAGGAAAGAGGGGACTATGATCACAGTAAAATATATACACTTTTAGCAGGCATTTTCTACTCATTTTTACTTAGTATTAGGTGTCAATTAATTAGAATTAGTTTACTTTTAGTTTGATTTTTGTATTTCAAGGAAAGTGGAGAAATCCTTACTGAGGAAGGAAGAATGGCAGCAGATGATCACAACTTGGAAGAATCTGCAACAGCACACTCAATTGAGAGGAAGAAGGGCAGCTGCTCTCCTGCCAAATTATTGGTGCGGTAGCTGTTGCTGCTGTCAATCAAACGAGCCACGAACTGAAATCTTGGTGGCTAAGGAAAGAAATTGCTTTGCCATCACTACAAGTTGTTACTGCTGCAAGTGGAAGAAGAGAAAGAGGGAGAATATGTGAAGAACAGCAGCTGCAATTCTGCTACTAACCAACTGATGTTGTTGCTGAAGTGATGGATTGGCTGCTGCAGAAGGGTGAGTAAAGGTGTAGCAAGTGACCCAGGAAACAAGGAAGAAAAGGGCAAAAGATTGAGGCTGAATTGGGGCTGGAAACACAATGATGGAAGGAAGCATGCTGCTGCTTCCTGACTGTTGCAATTTGAGGTGTGAAGATTAAAGAATGAAGAAATGGAGATTTGTGGCTGCAAATGGTAAGAAGGTGCCGAAGAAGAAGACTAAGTAGAAGCAGCAATGATGAATAGAAGGAGGCTGATTGCCTCTGAAGAATGAAGGAGCTGACCAGGGAATTGGGCAAGTTGCTGAAGAAACAAATACCTTTGGCTACTGCAACTTGCTGTCTCCTCCAATCTGCCGCAAGGAAGGCCAGAATTCCCCAATCCAAGCATCTCCAAATCTCTATAAATAGTCAGCCAATAGCAATAGTTAAAAGAGACAGATGGGTAGTTAGAGTTAGTTATAAAAACAGTAGTTAGGTAGTTAGTTAGTTGGTTAGACACATGGTAGTAGTAGGAATAGGAGTGCAGACTATCACTCTGTCAAGTGGCGAATGCCACTCGCCTAAGTGAGCAGATAGTAACTGCGCTGCTACCATCTTTCCTTCTGTCCTCTAACCTTTTGATCTTTAGTTATGTGTTATCTTTTGCACTCTGTTGCTCTCATGTTTAACTCAATAAACATGAGTAGCTAACTCAATTAAGGGTTCAATCCCATCTATCATTATGTGAAAGTTTTGATTCAGTTTTTCTTAATGAGGCATTGTTTCTAGTTTAAGTGCTTTAATTAACCTTTTGATTAAACTGACCACTTAATTAAATCTGCATGCATGTTATGAAGATTTGAGAGGGCAAACATAACTAGAACGTGTTAAATTAGTCTATGACAAAGAAGGAAATCTGCCCTTTGGTTTAAATCATCAACGAAAGTTAGGTGATTGGCATAGGTGATCAATAGGGCTTAAGAACTAAATGGCTTAGATTAATCTCAATAATCTGACTGAGAGGTAGGTAATTTGGTAATCTAAGACTCTTTATTCCGTCTGAAAGGAATTGTAAAGAATATTTGTGCTCGATCAAACAATAAATCATACACTACAGGTTTACTTGAATCAAAACATGATCATAAATATAGGAAGGTGATTGACCCTTCTGCCTCTTTACTATGTTAAATGACTCTTCTCACTCTCCCAAGTGACAAATCTGTTCATCTCTTTTACTTTCCTTTCTTTGCACTTTAATCAGATTTTGAGCGGTTGACTGTTGTCTTTGTGGAACGAACCTGCTTACTACTAGCTAATAGTTTTAAGGAGGTTTTATAAATCTTCTCTTTTGGGTTGAAATCAACGACACTCATTTCACACCACCAGACTACGACAAGGAGATCTAATGTCTCCCCTCCTTTTCATACTAGCCATGGAGTATCTCAGCAGACTACTGAAGAAGCAACTAAAGATAAAAATTTCAAATTCTACCCACAATGCAAGGAGATGAAGCTGACCAACATTTTCTTTGCAGATGATCTTATGATCTTCTGCAAAGTAGATGCACACTGTTCAGAAGATTAGAGAAGTACTCAAAAAATTCTCAGACACCACAAGACTAGTTGCAAACCCAGCAAAGTCAGAACTGTACTGTGGTGGAACATCAGAGGCAGTAAAAGCCCACCTTTGTCATATTACTGGGTTTAAAGAAGGGAAATTCCCAATGAAATATTTGGGACTCCCCTTATCTCCGAGAAAACAGTCACAAATGGAGTGTGAAGCCCTAGTGCAGAAAATAGTTGCAAAAATCAAGTGCTGGAGCTCAAGAAATATCAGTTACGCAGGAAGGGTCCAATTGGTGAATTCAGTCTTGATGACAGTCAACAACTACTGGGCACCCATGTTTATACTCCCACAGAGCATCATCCAACAAGTTAAAAGATTATGCTTTAGCTGCTACAAGTTGCCGCCTCCCCTATCTGCTGCAGAGAAGAAAGCCAGGACCTCAACCAATCGAATCCTGCCCAAATCTCTATAAATAGCCAGCCAATAACAGTTAGAAAAATAACATATTGGGTAGTTAGAATCAATTCTAAAACAGAGTAGTTAGTTAAGTTAGTTAGTTTAGAAAACAGGGTAGTAGCACAAGCAAGAGTGCAGACTATCACTCTGGCGAAGGCCACTCGCCAAAGTGAGCAGATAGAATCTGCCCTACTACCACTCTCCCCTTTCTATCCTCTAACCTTTGGTTCTTTATCATGTCTACTCTTTTGTACTCTGTTGCTCTCATGTTTAGCTCAATAAACATGAGTAATTTTTTGTACTTTGTTGCTCTCATGTTTAGCTCAATAAACATGAGTAGCTAAACTCAGTTAAGGGTCTAATCACTACTATTTGTATGTTAAGGTTTTGATTTAGTTCCTTATATGAGACATTGTTCCTAGTTTAAGTGTTTGAATTAACCTTGTAGTTAAATTGGCCACTAGCTAAATGTGCATGCATAATTATGGAATCCTGAGAGGGTGAACATAGTTTT